GATAGATAGATAGATAGATAGATAGATAGATAGATAGATAGATAGATAGATAGATAGATAGATAGATAGATAGATGGATAGATGGATAAAATGGTTGGCCCTTGATCGTTGCAGCTCGCGCCGTTGTTGGCGCGAGACTCATTTCAACGTCACATCCACCAATCACCAGAAAGAGTGCATCGTATCATCCAATTGGAGAGCTCGTTGTTGGGGCTGTGGGCGGAGACTAAAATTACAAACTGTTTTCTGCTCGTTTTTTCCGTCTGAAAGATTCAGAAACTTTATCTCTTCGTGGTTAATGGAACATATTTAACCCTTCAAATGAAAGGCAGACCTCGGTACTTCTGTAGGTTTTATTTCACGAACAGCCGCGGTGTTCAGCCGCTAAAAGCTTTTGTTTACATTCAGTGGAGGTGGTTAGCTTGTTTCCACTTTGTTATTAGCACAGTTTGATTAGCTGCTAGTTAGTTTTCTGTATTTTCTGAGCATATTAAAAACTCTTTTAGCCAATAGATATGTCAACAGGAGTTTGATGTTTTTCATGTTTGAGACCGAAGAAACTGAGCTCATCTTCTACAAYAGTTGGACAGAAACTCAGGTAAACTAAAGCCACCTGCTAAACATCTATAATCAGTCCGCTGTGGGACCAGAAGCAGCACTTAAACATTTCTTCCCCTCTACAGCCATGATGATAGGTGTCTACAGCAGGCTGACTTCCTGACGTGACCCCTGGGATGTCCTCTTTCCGGGTCAGYCAGGGTTCAGAGAGACCTCTCGGTGGGACACATCTCTTCCTCTGTCTTCCTGCTCAAAGGTTTGCCAGGGACAGAAAATATTCATCATCCAAAGAGTCATAAAACGCACCAACAAAACTCTGTAAACCAGTGAAACAGGTGGTGCTGCAGCATCATTACTGAACAAACTCTGACTTCCTGCTCCTGTTTGTCTCCTTCAGCCTGTAGAGATGGAGTGTGGGTCTGTCAGGAGGAAGGTGGGCTGTGTGCGTCAGGAGAACGCCTGCCTGACCCCACAGGACGAGCAGCTCATCAGTGACCCACAACCTTTGTAYGACGATCCAGCAGCCTTTAAGTCACAGGTATGGACACACAAATCTTCATTTACCTTAAAAAAACAAGACAAATCCTAGCAAACATTTATTGCCAACCAACCTTTATGTAAGTTTTAGATCCAGCTGTTTGAGAAATGACAGGTTTCATCGAACTTTGAAAGAAATATTGTCTCGTGATATCGCAAGATGTCATGCTCACCCTTAGCAAAAAGTAGTATATGCAAGTATCCATTAAGTATACTAATTTTAAACTTAAAATGAAAAGTATACTTCCAGTTTACTTTTTATGTACCTATCTGAGATATACTTAACCAAGTTTATCTTACACTATACTTKGCTTGTACTAAAAGYATAYTAAAAGTTTAAGTATACTTAGTTTATACTATTGTTTAAACTTTTGGTCAAGATAAACTTTAGTAGTACACTTTTCACAYAGACTGGTTTATTTGTAGTATATTTCAAGATTAAACTAAAACTACGTAGAATACTTTCAGTATACTTCTGAGTATACTTTCATAAACTTTTTGTGGGCCAATTTAATCCGAGGTTTATATTTGTTAGTAAACTGCTAGTACACTTATATCAGTTTACTTGGTAAATAAAAGTACACTTAGGGAAATACACTTTTATATATTTCAGTATACTTAATGACATGTACTTAACTTATACTTCTTTTTTTGTAAGTTTATAAACTTAACAGTTAACTTAACTTTTCATAAACATTAAAAATGTCCCAATTTAGTACAAACAAGTTTTAAATGAATATACTTTCTAGTGCACTACAAGTACATGGTGCCTAGTATACTTGATATACTTAAACTTATACTCAAGTATACTTATTAAAATGAACTTCAAGTATACTACTTTTTGCTAAGGGCRTGTATGTGTTGTAAATGACTCGTAGCGACTACCACACCAAATTATACCTCAATGTCTGTGAAATTCACAGCATTGTAGACATTGTAGTGTTTTATTTGTGACTGAATAGTGYGGGAATTGAACCCCCAACTCTGTTATTGGAGAACGGTTCCTCCAACCATTCATCCACAGCCGTGTATTTTTCTTTGAACAAAATCTAACAATAATGTCATTTTAAGTAAAGGAATATTTACCAAATTTTAGAAAAATGTAACTTAAAATAAATAGCTTTATATACATAGCTTTTTATATTTTAGCTAAATAGCTTTTCCTTTTCAAAAACTAAGTTTTGGGCTATAGTAAGCTGGATGTAGCAGCTGCTCCTCTCGTCTTGAAATGTGTTGACTCAAAAGCTGATCGGTTGTAGATGCATGTCCAATGATTGATTTATTTATTTTATATTTTATTCAAAATTGAAGCATTTTGTGAGAAATTTTGCTGTCTACACCTTACGACTATTTAAAAACAAATAATAGAAGTGGTATTGTTTATATTCTAAAGGTTCTTCCCAGAAGCTCGAGGGTTGGGTTTAACAGCAGCCTGGCAGCCATGAGTGAACAGATTCATCAGCTTGAAACAGAGTTGGAGGCTCAAACTAAAGAGCTAAAGTAAGTTGCAACATGATAAACATGTACTTGTAACGTATCAGCCATGCTGTAAAAAAGGGCTTCTTAACCTTTTTGACTTCGGGGCCCAATTTATTGAACATAAAGTGTCACGAGGTCCAGTCAGACATTAACAATGTATGGATCAAAATGATAATTATTATAAATCTTGGTTTAATTTTAATTGCATTTACATCATAACTAACACAACTCAGTTAAATACACTTACAGTTTAAAAGTAAAACTCCTGTCAAATAATCACAAGACATGATTACGTATAACAAATATTTTTATATTGTAACCTGCCCATAACAATTATTTGAACAAACACAACTGTCGGTCAACAGGCTTATCAACACAAAAATATATTTTTAACATAACAAAAATAGACAATTCAATAAAAAAATGTGGGCATAAAATAAATACATTCAAAATGTTCAACGTGAATGTTTCAAATTTACAAAACCTGTAAAAATAAATTTGATTATTTATTTGATTATAGTTCCCCCTATTAGTGCTTTAGTGCAGTGTTTCCCAAAGTTGGGGTCGGGACCCAAAGTGGGGTCCTGAAA